AAGGGTGGATATTTCAGCAAGACAATGATCCCAAACACACAGCCAAGGAAACTCTCAATTGGTTTCAGAGAAAGAAAGTAAAGCTGCTAGAATGATTCTGTGTTTTTCTGTCAATATGGGGTGCTGTGTGTACATTAATGAGGAAAAAAAAATAACTTAAATGATTTTAGCAAATGGCTGCAATATAACAAAGAGTGAAAAATTTAAGGGGGTCTGAATACTTTCCGTACCCACTGTATATATATATAAAGATGACAAAAATCACACACAATTAGTAAGCTTAAACTAAAACTGGAAATCTTGCCTTGTCAACTAACTGAAACCAGTTTACATTGAATTAATAAAATTACCAAAGCTGAAATTAAAAAGTTAAATAGCTAAATAGAAAAATAAAGAGAAACTAATAAAAATTGTCAAAAGCACATACAATTACGAAAACTTGTACTAAAATAAAAGCTGAAGATACAAAAATAAAAGCTAGCTCAAAATATAAATGTGTACTGTATCCAGATATCTCTATTCACTAGCATACTGGCGAAACAGATCTGGCAAACTATCCAGTGCATATTTGTGTTTGCAGAGGTTTCTATTTACACTGTTTATCACAGAGTTGAGCAACATAACCAATCACAGACAGATCTGTCGAATCACTGCCAATCATTAGAATCCACTCACCGCTCAAAACACCAGAGTTTTTGTCCATCGCTTAGTTTTGCAAGCTCATGGATCCTCTCATTATAACAAAACTTCATGAGATCACGATGTGCTAAGACGAGGAACAGCTTTTCAGTGATTATAAACGTTATATTCTAGGCTTTATATAATCCATTCAGAATTTGTATAAAACTTTTGCTTTTCGGGCACACACACGCTGCAAAGACATCTGCATATTTATGTGGTATTCATACTCAAAAGAGCAATGGACGGGACAAAAATATACGTGAAAATGTATGTGCATTGAGGCTAGAGCACACTCACTAATTTCTGAAGAGCCCTCAGTATTTAATTCTGGACAAAACTGTGTTGGAGCAGTTCTCATGATCAGTAGCTCATATTCAGGCGATCGCATGGAGTTGAGTTATGTGGCAGTAGGCTATGCTTTAAAGTCGAAAAAATGAGCAAGATTTTTGTTAATTTCTTCCGTGAAAATCTCTACCCAGTTAGAGTAAACATTAATGCTTCATTGAATACTCTGTTCATCTGTTGAGTTCATCATCGACAGCAGTGCCGTCGTGATTCTGAATATGAACAGATTCACTGAAACTGAAGCTTCAAATGTCTGGTTATCAGAGATGAAACGAAGGGGCTGAAGCTGGTAATTAATATGAGCGTGTTTGATGACTGTATAACGTCGTGTCGTGCGAGTGTCGCTATCACGAATCCGATACAAAGAGGATAAAGCGGCTCCGTCAGCGGGACGGGATTAAACGCTCCCACTGCGTCTATTCACACCAATTACTCGCACACACAAAAGGCCAAATTGTTTTTGCAAAGCCTGATACGTGGCTAATGTTCTGAGCTCAGACGAGAACGCGGCGTGATGCTAACAGCCCTGAACGCGGTTCATCGCGCGGCGAGCGTAAGCCTGTCAGACGCAGGGGAAGCGTTTCCGGCACAGTTCGCTTCACGCTCATCAGAAGCAGAGGCTCGCGGAGCCGGCGACAGGAAACCGGAGGTTCAGGTCAGAGCCTATAGAGACGCTTCACGCTTCAACAAAACACACACTCTTTACGCTTTAACCAGTTCAGGGGCTCCAGTCTGTACATTCACAGTCATGCATTGGCAGGAGCTTTTATTCAGATCACGCATTACACCAGTTCAAGCTGCTGCCAGCGCCACCTACTGTCTCAACCACATACACAATGACTGCGATTCTAAATGTAAATCACTCTTTCTGTGTATTGTTCTACCTTTATTCAACTTATTACATTTTTCTGGACGTACAGTATATTATGTTTGTGTTTTTGTTTGTTTGTTTTTATTCCACGTAATTATTTTTGTAGATTGCCTAAAATTTGTATCTAATTCTACTTATTTAATTTTCTAGATGTATATTACGTGAAGTTTTTACATCTTACTTTTTTTTTTTTACTTTTTTTCTTTTCTTTTTTTTTCTATTTTTTATTCTATTTATTTAATTTTTCTAGATTTATATTGCATTAAGGTTTTTTATTTAATTCCACATAATACATTTTTGTAGATTACCTCAAGTTTTTATGCAATTCTATTTATTTTATTTTCTAGATTTATATTACATTACGTTTTTGCATCCTACTTTCAAATTTTCAAGATTTTTTTTTTTATTGTAGTTATTCAGTTTTTCTGGATGTATATTACATTAAGGTTTTTTTTTATTTAAATCCACTTATTTAATTAATTTTTGTAGATTACCTAATATTTATTTATTTATGCTTTAATTTTAATCTTTCTAGATGTATATTATATTGAGTTTTTTTTTAATACTTATTTAATGTTATATAAGTATATTGTGACACTTTTTATTTCATTCTACTTTTCAATATTTTTTCTAGATGTATATTATGTTAAGTTTATTTAGTTCTACTTATTTATTGATGTGTATTAGGTTAAGGATTATGTAACTTAACTTAAAAAAATCCAGATGTATATTATGTTGTTTTTGTTTTTTTTTGTTTTTTTATTTGACTTCTTTTTTAGATGTATATTATGTTACGTTTTTAATTAACCTGCAACTTGTCTAGATGTATATTACCTTAAGATGACCTTTTTAAAATGTAATTTCACTTATTTCATTTTTGTAGACATATGTTACTAAAGTTTTTATCGACCTGTACTTGTTTAATGTTCTCTGTATTCTCATGTGTATATACAGTAAGTATGTGAGTGTGTGGAGCTCGTGGGACGCAGACTGAAGTCTGTGTGAATGAAGCACGTTTTGATTCTGATTAGTTTGTGCAGTTCTGCACCCTATTAAGGGTAGCTCACGCCGTGTTTATGAGGTTCACAGGAGTCTCATCCATCCTCGATAGTAATTATGAAGCTCCTGAAGAAATGATTTTATGTTTTATTCATCTGTTTCGCTCAGGAGTTGAAGGCGTGCTCTGGGAATCCTCTTCCTGTCTTAAACTGTGTCTGTCTCTGGTCTGGAGTTGTGTTTATTGCGTCTGATGAAGGTTTACTGTCACAAACGTGCCGCTCTGAGATGAACAGAAAACCTGAGGATCTTCATCAGTGAGCGAGAGGAGATGTGGAGGTGAGGATGAAGAGCACAACTGTGTTCAACATTGATAATAATCAGAAATGTTTGTTGAGCAGCAAATCAGCATATTATACTGATTTCTGAAGATCATGTGACACTGAAGACTGGAGTAATGATGCTGAAAATACAGCTGCGCATCACAGAAATACATTACAGTTTAACAGATATTCACATAGAAAACAGCTGTTTTATATTGTAATAATATTTCACTGTTTTACTGTATTTTTGATCAAATAAATGCAGCCTTGGTGAGCAGAAGAGACTTCTTTCAGAAGCACTGACCCCAAACTTTTGTACAGAAGTGAATAATAGATCATTTTCTTGTGTTGTGGAGTGAGAAATGAACTAAAAGCTTGTGGAGCTTCAGTTTTACAGTCATCCTCACCTCAACGGCACTGAACATGACTAATCTAGTATTACTCATGCGTTATCTAGTATTAGTCATGCGGGAAACAGATAGAAACTCAACAGTCGGCTAAAACTGAAATAACTTCATTCAGAACGTCTGACTCATTTCTTTGGGCTTTTCTATACAAACTTTCTAACTAACACACAGAGACTAACACACCATGTCTACAGTATATACGCATGATATTGTTCAAACCCAACAGCATCAAACCCAGAGGAACCGAAGGAGAGCTGAGCGAACGTGACGACGTGATTCGCCTGTCAGACTGAACCTTCCCATGATGCAGTGCGCCAGCTCACGTCACATGACCATCATTAAATCATGAGGACAGCCGGTGTTTGAGCTTGTTTTAGTCAGGATTTCAGTCTCAGAGAAGTCGTCATTCTGACAGGACTAACCTCTTTGTTAACTAACCCATCCTGACCACTAGTTAGCGTCTGCGCTCCCATAAAGCTGCACTGCAGTCGCCTTAAATCGCAAACATCGGTGACAGAAACGGCAGAAAGACAACAGAAGCACATGTACGTCTAATAATTCATGATATCTGACAGTAAACTCCCAGGAGGGTCCCTTATTTACCACAATTACCACAAATCACCAGATCTAGTCACATGTTACTGCCATTGTTTTCACTAAATTAGATCATTATTAGTATTATTATTAGTCATGCTCTTCCTTTCCACCTTAATACTACTTATTTAGTGTTTCTATATATATATATATTATATTAGGGTCCAGATTTACTAAACAGGGCAAATTAGCATTAGATCAGAATTCCATAAAAGCGCTGATGGGAGGGAAAACTCTGCGTGTGATTTACTGACAATGCTCAGATTAAAGAACACAGACGCGGCAGATCATGTCCATAATGACCAGCGCAATCTACTGAGAGTAGCACAAATTACCGCCTGCTTTAAGACATGCTTTTTTTGGGCGTTAAATAATGACGCAAATACCAGTAATTTGACGAGCACAAACGCTAGTAAACCGCATTGCGTGATCTACTTATATACTCACCTCCCATAAATTGTGGGTCTGAAAGGGAAACTCCTACAAATGCATGTTTAATAAGGTGAGGCGCAAAAATAACTGTCCAGGCCTTTTCACTGTGTGTCTCTAGTAAATCCTGACAGTACTGATTTTAACACCAAAAGACGATGTGCGCTGGCGCCAGCTGTTAGTAAATCTGGCCATGAGTGTTTTATTTCATTCTACTTACTTTTTCTAGATGTATATTTCTTGTAAAACAAACTGTTTTGTACTGTTTTAAAACGTAATTTACTACATTTATTTATTTAAAAATGTGTGTGTGTGTGTGTGTGAGTGTGTGTGTGTGTGTTACTGAAGTGGTACCTTTGAGGTCCAGGTTCCTGGCTCCGTTAGAGTGCTGCGTCACGGTGCGAGAGTCGATCTTGAGCGTGTGTACGTTATTGGTGTCGCGTGAAACCACCACATTGTGCCACTGATTGTCGTTGAGCGGCTTCTCCGAGTTTCCCTTCATCAGAGACGGGCCGTTCCCCAGGTCAAACACATAGTGAACATACCTGAAACACACACACACACACACACACAGGTCACCTCAAACACCTCAAACACACGCTGAGATTCATATTATCAAACCCTGACAAAACGCTGAGTCAGCCAAATCTATTACTGTTATTAGACTGAAATAATTGTGTGTTTTCACCACTGACAGCGGCACTTTATTTATTCTTTATTTAGACTAAACAAACACACATTTTTGGGCTCAATGTACAGTAAACTTAGTGTGCATTTGTACATGTAGTTTTTGTTTAGTCTAATATACACTTTATTTAATCTAAATAAAGGTGATTTTCTTAACAATGCTCGCGCACTGAAGCAGATTTCTGAATACGCCACACTTGTTTGTCTACTTTAGAGTTCAGCAGCTCTAGAAAGCTTTTATATTTTGAGTTCTGATTGAACTGTGTCCTTATTTTCGCAGCACAAATGAGCGAGTCACTCTTCCCTGAATGAAACTCATTTCCTGCGCTCTATTTATTCTAATACCGTAGTAAATGTTGCTCTCTGGTGTTTTCTCCGCATTTACTGTAATTTCCCTTCAGACATTGATTATAAAACACTGCATTTATTGTGTTCGTCGCAGATAAAAACTGTGAAAAATGAGCTGCATTCTTTGACTGCTCGTAACGGCGTGAACAATGACTTCGCCGAAGCACTTTAAACACGGCTCTGGCACCCACACCGCACATCTGTTGCTTAGAAACACAGTTCTCCAGAACAATCAGAGTCTCTGCAGAGTTTGTGTGTGAGGTGAGTCAGTGTTCACTCGTCTTCCGCACATACAAACCTTCTGCACTGACAAACAATCTGCTGCTCATCTTCATTTCACACGGACACGCTTATCTCCATCTGCACGATTAGCACTCACCAGATGCACCTGAGAGGAGATCTGCAGCGAAGTATGATGAACGCTAAAGCTATTAAAGTTGAATGTCTGAAACTGAAAATAAATTACACCTATAAAATATTATTAAATATTAAAATTATAAACAATAACAATTACAAAAGCACATAACAAACTTACAAAAACCTAAACTAAAATTCAAATAAAAACAAAGTATAAAAAAGAAAAGTCAATTCAAAATATGAAGAAATATTATAATATAAATAACACTAAAAATAACTGTTTTACAATATAAATAAATTTAAGCTGAAGTACTGCTAAAATGAAAAGTATAAAGAAAACTTAAATAAAAAAAGGCACACAAATTACTCAAATTAAAATATAAATCAACGTGCAAAATTTAATTCAAAATATTAATAATTCCTGTAACAGTACATAAGTAATACTAAAATAACACTGACAAACAAGCCATTAAGCAATGGTTTTATGTTATAGATTAAGTTTAAGAACTAAAAATACTAAAGCTGAAATAAATGAAATCTACAAAAAATATATTTAAAAAGTAACAAAAGCACTAAAAAAAATTACTAAAACTAAAATTAAAATGAAAACTGGACCAGCGCTGGGGAAAGTTACTTTTAAAAGTAATGCATTACAATATTGCGTTAGTCCCTAAAAAAGTAACTAATTATGTTACTTAGTTACTTTTTATGGAAAGTAATGCATTACGTTACTTTTGAGTTACTTTTTAAATCTGGGCAGGGCTTGTTTGTTTTTAATATAAAAAGTTCTTCATTTACAAATGTAAAAGCCCTTTCACACCAAAGGTGAAATGAATGAGCCTCAGGCTGAAGGAAATGTAAATTCACGTCTGTCCAGTAGAGGGCGCCGCTCAAACACATCTCATGAAGAATATGACGCAGGAGAAGAAAGTTCAACACTATTCAGCAATAACTAAAATAAAACACAAATGTGTGATTTCTGCTGAGTATGGTTGAATTGGATCATCGAAGGTCAGCAGCAAAGACATTGGTTAATAAAATGGGATTTCATACATAAATGACATTTGTCTTATTTAACATATTTATTGCAGGTTTGTATAATATTCTGAGTTTGCATTTGACAGTTTTTTATTCATTTTGCGGAATACTGAATCTGTTCATATTTAGTGTAGAACTACAGTAAGCATCACGTTCACACAGCGCACACATCGAAGGTCAGCAGCAAAGACATTGGTTAATAAAATGGAATTTCATACATAAATGACATTTGTCTTATTTAACATATTTATTGCAGGTTAGTATAATATTCTGAGTTTGCATTTGACAGTTTTTATTGATTGTGAGGAACACTGAATGTGTTTGTGTGCAGTGAGATGAGTAAACACATGTTGATATTGAGTCTAGAACTACAGTAAGATCATGTTCACACACAACGCTCTGCACTTACTCCTGATTTCTGTCA